CTATGCCTCTATTGTAGTGGCTGGCAAAATCTTTCTGCAAAGGACAGAAAGAAAATATTTTAACCTCCAAGGGCCACAGAAGCTCTATCACACTGTTCAACTCTGCCATTATAAAATTCTGTTTATTGAGCTAATCCTTTACCCTCAGATCCCAATTCAGTAAACATACACAGACTCTTAAATGCAATCTTACCTCAATTTTATCTATTTACTGTCTCATCTTCCCTTCTCCTTCCTAAGCAGGCCAAGTGAAGATGTCCTCTGTCCTCCAGAAAGTCTGTCAATTCCATGTCTGTTTTACATGCTTCTCCTCCAGGTCCCATGAAACCCCACACTTGTCTTTATGGCTAAATTCATTATACTTTTTTGACTCTCTGCCCCTCGAAGTCTACAAAATACTTGAGAAAAAGGATCCTTAAGCCTCTTTGTACCTTACTCAAACTGCTTCTCATACCTCGCCACACCTTCTGCAAGAACTCCACTCCCATAGGAATGGGAGTATTTTGCCTCATTTGAAATTTAAGAAAGTAGCCACAACTAGAAATTAGACAGTCATGTGAATTATAGCTGACAAGAAGAATTCCTTTCAAAATAATGTTATGAACCCTAACCAACCCATTCCAAAATCAATTTAAATATTGAGCTGAATGCTTAAACAATGCAATGATACAACAGCAAAGAGTAAAATAATACATAACTTTTTTGTGTGTGCATTCACTGAGATGATTTCAAGTGCTCCTGACAGTTACAGGTTATTATTACACTCACTATTCATCACTCTCTTTAATGCACTTCCTCTTGTTACTCTCCATCTAATGCCACAGGGTAAATACAAGTTATTTTTTATTTGTTGAATTTAAGTGTCTTGAGTGTGACTGGTTTTATTTACCAGTAGCAGTTTACAACATCTCTCGAAGGCCTTCCTTTATACTATAAACGCATTGAAAATGTCAGCTTAGTTCTGTAGCTACTAAATGTTCCCGCAGAGCCTACAGAAATTCCATAAAATACTGTGCCTTGTAGGACCTACCAAAATGACAGATTCCTGGCTCCAAAACCTGTAAATAAGGAGGATGCTTTAAAACTTTGTGTTTACAAAACCAGTAGATTTTGTTGATGGAATTTTAATAAGTAAAGTTACTCAAATCTGAAGTCTAAAGTCAATGTTCCCTTGAAGCAATGACAATGTGTAACTGGTTTTCAAATGCAAGCAGTAAATTGATAAGCACAGAAAATCAAAGTCCACCAGCCTCATCTATAGAATTAACAATTGTTATTTCACTATCAGATATGGAAAGTTAGTGCAGGGCTTTCTAATGTCAATTGTTCTAAACATCATCCCAAATGTGTCATTCTTAACTCTTAACACACACACACGCACATATATATAAAACAGATGATTACATAAAAGTAACTCGGACTGAATTTTATCTCTTTTAGAGCATTCAGTCATACTCCTCTTAATCCAAAATCCAGATGATTCCTGAAATCAAGCGTCACTTTAAAAAGACTGAAAATTGGGCCCTCCCTGGTGGCGCAGCGGGTTAAAGCACTGCACTGAGAATCTAAAGCCGCTTCCGCATGAGTTCAATTCCCGCCTGCCCCGGAGGTGACCACATGGTGTGGCAGACCTCTCCTGACCTGCCCGCTGCTCCCCTCAGCAGTGTACTTCGTCGATCTACCTGTTCTGCTCCCCACTCTGTCTCTGGTGAAGCCTCTCACTGCCCCTGAGCCTCTGGCCTGTACCCCAGTTCTGTATGCACAAATAAATAAATCTTTAAAAAAAAAAAAAAAAGTGGGCAGCCTGACTGTCTTCATTTAAAAAAAAAAAATAAAGACTGAAAATTGTTCAGGATACCATAAGGGAGAAATTCAGAGAAGGCACAAAATAAACCATGGATTCAAGGTAATTATTACCTGACACAACAATGTAGTTTTATATATTTCTACAACGATGAAATTGACCATATATAACTGCTTCCTTAAAACCTATAGTCCCAGTACTGGCCGGGGAACTTTACAAAAAATTTCTGGGTCCCAACCATAATATGTCAACAAGCACCTGGTTCACTCATTCCAATGGAATTCCCACAGACACTGGTTTAATAAAACAAGGTGCCATGTATTTTAAGAGGTCTTACTGTAAATGATACTCATTTTTCCAATAAAAATAGCCATTTATATTCAACATAAAAAGAGATTTGTAATAAATAAATAATGAATAAATAAATAAATAAAAATTTAAAAAGAGATTTGTTATCACTAAAGAATAAATCACTACCGATAAAACTAGAGTTGATATATTAAAAAAGTATTAAGAAAGAGACCCCACTGAGCTTGATTCTATTCTAGCACACTGAAAAAACATGGTGCAAAATAAGTAGGAGGCCCTACCACACCCCAGTCATCTCAGGGAGCTACTGGTGAAATACCACTACTCTGAAATACATAAAATAAAAACAGTAACAACAACAAAGCAATGATTTAATACAATGAAACTAGCGGTGCAGCAATGGCTGGATGGAATATACACTGACATAATCCTGTGGAGAGCAATATAGAAAATATCTCTAAATCAAAAAATAAATCAATAAAGCCTCCTATTTGCATATAGAGAAATATACTCACATGCAAAAACATGTACACATATGTGTATATACTCCCTTAATAAAGTCTCAACACTAAGGTATCTTATACTAGTGAAAATCAAAAACCAGAATAAGAAGGCTATTTTTGCTCTTTTAACTTTTACTTTTAACATCAAACAAATATATTTAAACATTTGTATCTATCATTTAGATTCAGCTGCCAATATTTTGCCTATCTTCAACTATATCCATTTTACTTAACTGTATGAAGTATTTTCAAAATAAATCCCAAACCCATATTATTTCACTTATATACTTTTAAATAGGTAAGGAAAAGCTACAGATAGATAGAGCCACCATGCCATCATTGCATCTAACATAGATAACAACATTAATTTCAATCCTACAATATTACTTGTCATGCAATATATTTTCAAATAAGAATGATCTTTTTTTCTTTAGAATGGTCCTTTCAAAAAGAATGTTCAACAGTTGGAAAACCATTATCAAAAATGTGAAATTGTGCTACTAGCACATGAACATAAAGTGTAAAGAAGTCAAGAAAAGCATGACAACAAGAAAAATATACAAAGACTTCAGCAGGCATTTCAATAATAGAAACCTGGAAAAATTCAATAAGCCAATGAATAAACATAAGGGGGAAAACATCATATTGGAATTTAAAACCATAAGATACTACTACAACACACACCAACCGCCTAACAATACAAAGTGTCAGGGAGGAAGTGAAGCAATGGGAATCTGTAAATATTACTATTGAAAGTTATGAATAGAAAAGAGTTAACCATGTATATACCCTATAGACATGCATAGCTCTATACACAACAAAAGCATATATACCTCTGCTCTGGAAATTGTGCACAACACAGGAATTTTATGAACAAAAGTCAACATTAGAGGCAACCAAAAAATGATCACTAGAAAAAAGAAATAGGCTATGGTACAGTCATTCATGTAATAATATATAGGAATTAAAATGAGTGAACCATCGCTAACTATATACAATGCAGAGAAAGTTTAGAACTGTAATAAGGTATGATATAGCTAGAAATGAATGAGTCTTCCAGTTATACGAAATTCAGAAACAAGATAGAATGAGCTCCATTTTTAAAGTGTCTAATACCATTAAGTGTAAATAGTAACTACCTTTGAAGAAAAGTGGGAGACCATGACAGGTAAAGGGGACATCCAGGCAAATTCTAGGGTGCTGATATCAGTGAAGGCATTTAAGTAAGTTGCAATAATTTGTGAAATTCTAATTTTATATTTTATACATTTTAAAGTTTGTTTTACATTTCAATATATAAAAGGTATAGGTAAAAATAGTAAAATTGATTAAAGCAAAGATTATCAATACCTGCCAGATTCACTTAATGAAAGACTATTGGAAAAGAGAAAATTTATTTAATCTCTAGCACCTCATATAAGATTTCTTAGCAATTATAAAGGGAAATCCTGAACTGGATCTTTCATATGGGGAAGAAAAGTTTGTAAATAAGATTACTGGAAAATGTAAGGATCTATGATAATAGTGTATATATTAGATGATACTATGTAAATTATAAATTGCCTTGTAATTAAAAGATACATGCTGAAATTATCAAGGGTGAGTTCTCATGTTTGCAATTTACTTTCAAACACTGCAGAAGAGAGACAGACACAATAAGACAGGAATCACATCAATAGAGAAACAAAACACAAATGTGGCAAAATATTAACCACCAGTGAACTGGATGAGTGTCTAGGTGTTCACTGCACTAGATTTCAACTTTTTGGTAAGTAAGTAATTTTTAAAAATAAAACAATGGGAGGAGGATAAAAGGTTTGAAAAAATAATTTTTAAGAACTGAGTTTACAATTATCAGAAGAAGTTAAAAAGATTGCATTATATCTAGGGAGTTATGCTTTCATGAAAATAACTGGAAAAATTGTAATAATATGTACTTCTGTAAAAAAGAAAAATCTCAATATTTATCTGTGGTAAAAAGGAATATTATAAGCCAATTCAAATAATAGCTTTTATAAATGATTAAAACTGCTAGAAACAACTGAAAATACTTCTTTTGCCTTAATAATGAAAAATAATTCCTGTTTTCTGAATGTTTTTACAAGTGATTTGTGTTAGAAAAAATTTGAATGCAATATAAATATTAGTCAGATAATAACCTATTATTATTCAATAATATCAGGTTATTTGTATAATTAGCTACCATCAATTTATAAAATGCCTTTAGCAAAAAATATACAAATGTACCTTTATTTCCTCTTGTCCTGTGATGAATTGCAGATCACTCAAAGAACAACAATAATCACTTCTCGACTACCTAAAATGGTAGCAATGGCAATAACATGAAATCATCTTTCATAAAGTTCAATATATTATAAATATACCTCATCATATATGCTCCCATTAATGTCTGCTCCATAGATAGGGGCCACAAAGGTTAAATTCTTCCAGTATTTGCGTTCCAAATCTTCATAATCTAAGTACCTTGGAGTACAGTATCTAGAAAAAGCAGATGAATAAAAGCACAAATAAGTAAGAAGATATTAAAATTTGACTTTAAATCACTTTATAAACAAAATTTTTCAAAATGAAAATACTGCAGCAACTCACACTGGCAAAACTAACAAGCAAATATGAAAATGCATTTCTTATAGATTACCTGGATATGCTTCAGATAACAAAATATCTATATAGGTAACTTGAGATTTTTGACTAGTGAAGAAAATCTCTTCATGTAAGTATTAGCAATAAGAAGCAGATATTAGTTAAAAATTCATCACTTCAGTTTTCAAAATATTTTCTAACATCTTTAAACAACTATACTATATTAGGAAATTTAAAAATTTACATGTAGCAAAACTGACAAAAAACAGTCCTGCTAAATTGTAAGAAAGTAAAACAAAAATAACATAATTAGTTATTAAATTGGCAAATGCTTAATATATTAATAGCATAAAAAAGTGAGACCTCTCTCCACAGCTGGAGTTGGAACATAAACTGGTTTAAAAAAAAAAATCCTAGTATAATTTTTAACACATCAAAAGACTTAAGGAATCTACCTTTGACCCTAAAATCCAACTCTAGAAAATCACCCAAAAAACAAAGACATAGGTACAACTACAGATAACCCAGGAGGTTTGCTGCAGCATTTTAAAAATTCTGGGCTAATGTCAGCACGTAGGGCTTAGAATACAAAATAGGTAAATCTTTCCACAAAGAATAAAACAAGTTACAGAATAGCAAATATGCTAAGACACTATTTATGAAAAAATCTGTAATTATTTATTAAGCGTACAGAAAGAAATATCAAATTATTAATATTAATTGGTACCTCATATAGGAATTATAAAAAGGCACTTTCTTCTCTGGTTACTTGGATTTTAAACAATAATTATCTTATTACAAAAAAGAGTACCAATAATAATACATGAAAAAAAGCAATCAACAAACTGAAAAACAGAAGAAGTAAAACAAGCATAGTAAAAATGGGGTTAGCAGGAGTAGCAACCTGCATTGAACATTTTAGATTTAATAAATATAAAACAATCAACTTACGCTGCACAGAAGACTCCAATAAACAATAAGAATACCAAATTACTTAATTTGACAACTGTTATTTTAAACACATTATTATTTGTTGATTTGCCGAGAACAATATCAGAGGGCAGTCTAAACTAAAAACAAAAATAGGTGGAAAAAGCCTTACTATTAATTCTATGTTTCTACCTGTTTGATTAACAGATGCCAATACTATAGAACTTCCAAGTACAGGCTAATAAGTTAATCAGAGGGCAGAGTAAGATGATTATTTAAAAAGTTAGCAGAAACCTCTTATTAAGACTAGAAAAATTTCATACCTCCTAGTGGCACAGGGGTTAAAGTCTCAGGACTATCAAGCTATCACCAGCTACTGCAGCTCAAGTATGGTCCCTGGCCAGAGAGCTGACCCACATGGCACCGTGGACCTCTCCTGTCTCAGCCACTGCTTCCCTCAGCTGTGTATTTCAGTAGATCTGCCTGTTCTGCTCCCCACTTTGTCTCTGGTAAATCTTCTCACCCTCCCTACCTCTGGCCTATCCCCCAGTTCTTATATGCATAAATAAATATAGCAAATCCTTAAAAAAGAAAAACTTCTAGGACTTTAGAAACTGGAGCCCTAAATTGCTTTTCATTGTAAAAGATCTAAAGAGGCATACAGGATGGGGTACACACTGGGGATGCAGGGGAAAGGCTGACAAAGATATCCTGGGGAGAGAGAGGGATAAGACAGAGCTTTATAACAACCACCAGCCCAGTTCTTGGCCCACATGGCCATTTCACTGCCTGCATACAGGTGGAAACCATCTCCCTGGAGATGGAACACCCTCTCAGAGGGCAGTTGGTGGCCAGACCTAAATTGTACACTATACTGGGATGCTTGAAGATGGAAAGAAATCTGATTTCTTCCTAGACAGAAATACATCCTTTAAGTTTATGCTAGGCAAGCAGGAGGTTACCAAAGTCACCCAGATGAGTGTGGGTCACAGAATCTAACTGAATACCTCCCAAGACTATACGATGACATTACTATGTAGGCATCATTCCACCAAATGCCACCCTTGTCTAATGTGACACTTTTAAAACTGGAGTGGTGGCCCTCCCTGGTGGTGCAGCAGGTTAAAGCACTGCACTAAGACGCTGAAACCACTTCCGCATGAGTTCGATTCCCACAGGCCCTAGAGGTGACCACATGGCACGGCAGACCTCTCCTGACCCGCCCGCTGCTCCCTTCAGCAGTGTACTTCGTCGATCTGCTTGTTCTGCCCCTCACTCTGTCTCTGGTGATGCCTCTTGCCACCCCTGGGCCTCTGGCCTGTACCCCAGCTCTGTATGTACAAATAAATAAATCTTAAAAAAAAAAAAAAAAAAAAACTGGAGTGGCAAAAAAGGCCTCCATAGCTCCTCATCCTCAGATGTGCTCTGGTAGGATCTGGCACCCCAAGATAGATGCTCATGAACACACAGAGAGCTCTTCCTTATGTTTCACTGCAATTTTTGTACAATCATCTACCTGACTAACCATGTTTTATCATCCAGCTTTGCTCTTTCATGGTCTCCTTTTATTGTGTTGACTTAAATGATACACCAAAAACCTCAATTACTTTATTTCTTTGGTTTCCATTTTGGGGTGAAGATTCAGTTTCAGTCTTTTGAATACAGAGTTCCAATTAAATATTGGTCAAGTATGTAAACGGGTTAACTTAAAGTAGGAATTGATGCAAAAAGTGCAAGAATAGTTAATAAATAATACTATCTATTATATGTTAAACATTCTTGTAGATTTGAGGTTCCATTGAAAGTCAAATTATTCTCCAAGCTAAGAGATTCCTTAGGTTGATGAAAAGCCCTACCCAAAATTGAAGAGTGGACTGGTGCAGTAGAGTCTTTGACTCCACTGGTCGTTGACTCCGCTGCCCAGTCTGCCACCCTTTAAATTCTCTCCCTTTTGAAACCAGACTGCTTTCACTGTTATCTTAGATAATACAGGCATGTCACCAGGTCAGCAGGGACTAAGGAAGTCTTTGTAGCCTGGCCTTTTTCTCCAACCTCCATCTAATCTTGGGATTTTCCAACAGATATTCAAGACCTTTTTAGTCTCACAACTATCCAAACATGGTCCTAAAATTTAAGAACTTTACTGTAAAGTTGAAATTGAAGATACTGTTGGTAAATACTTAACACCCAATAGAAGTCCCCTCACTGTGACAAAGCCTTCAGTATTCTCATAAGAAAATTATGCTAGTCATCAAAGTTTCAGTTCCTCCTAGTTTCATTGTTTTTCCTACCCTTCTCTCACCCTTTTGCTCTCCCCTGTAAAAAGAAATTATTTCTGCCTTTCCCTGCACCCTCCTCCCCAGCCCAGTCAGTACTATATGAGCTTCAAGTTTTATTATTGCAATACTTGTACTTTATGTTGGCTGTTCTCAAAATAAGTAAAAACCTAAGAAACCTATCCACACACATTCAATCATAATCATTTTTTAATAATTAGTAACTCTAAAGGAGAAAGTTACACTTTGGTGTTGGGAAGTGAGGTTAAATTCTAAAATTTCTGGCTATTTGAAATGAGAGCTAATTCTAAGCTTGAGAAAAATTACCAGCTCCTTGGTTGGCACCTGATTGTAATACACCCTGGCTACAGATTCCACCCCTAATATTAAATAATCATAGCTATTTCACAAATCCAGTGCCAATTTGCTCAAAACAAATTCCACCAGATCTTACCCATACCCTTTTGTTAACAATAGCACAGTAGTTAAGAGGCATGGCTTCAGCCACATTCAAACCCTACAGACTGCTTGGGTTTGAACTCAGGCTTTGCCACTTAAAAATGATATAACCCTGGGCAGGAGATTGAATCTTTGTGGACCTCACTCATTTCTCTATTAAAAAAAAAAAAAAAAGATAATGACAGTTAAGCTCTTATGAGAATTCTGTATAATAATTATAAAGCATTTAAAAGATGCCTAGAGGAAATTATATGTCAGTTATGTAAGTTCTACAAGACAGACTAATACCCACCTCCAAAAGTTTTATAGTAGAGCTATGCTACAGGTCTCTACATTTGCTTTGGGACTACATTATGTTATTAACCAAGAAAGCATGCTATTTTCTCTACTGTTTACAGTAAGCACATCATGTACTGTATAGCAGCCAAGGACAAGTACTGAAGGAAAATATGAACTTAAAGGCCAAGAGGGTGACTTCTGCCTCCTATGAAAATAAGCCTTTTCTCCAAACAATTCCTTAATAATATAAAGACCAAGCTTTTCCAGTGTGGCTGTGAGGACACAGCAAGAGTTTTGGTTTGAGGTCTAAAAACCTATTTCACTGGTATTTGAAATAAATTTCCCTCATGAAACTGAAGGAAATAAAAAGAGAGAATTTTCAAAGGTATTGTAATATTCTAACAATTATAATAGTTATTAAAACTCAAAAGACAAATTAATTTCAGAAGAAAATTAAACACTGAAGCCACAGTTCAGAAATATCTACAAGTCATATTTCACAACCACAAAAAGAGCTAACTAAATAATTTTAAATAATTTATAAACTTGTTTCATGGGAACTATTTTAACTATATTTTTTAGCTTCTCCTTTGCAAACCAGTGGTATTAAGGTTCATTTCTATTAAAAGAATAATTTTTAAATTTCAGTGTATTAAGCAATATATATTCTGTTTATAAGTAATCTTCACAATGTCTAATAATTTACACCACTTCAACTATGTATTTACAGCTTTCATGACACTATTTATAATTCAATTAACATATATTTAAATAGCACTTACTTCCAGATACCATACCAAGCAGTGAGCCTTACTTACATAAAGTGGTAGACGACGACAATGTCATTTGAAAGACTATCTTCAGAAACAGTCAATCTATAACTAAGCCACCACGGTGAAAAATTCACTAGATATGCATAAAGTCAGTGCATATTTTAATAAATCCCCTGTACACATAAATCTGATATCATTCAAGGAATATCCAGTGGCCTAGAGATAGTAATCAAAGTTTCATTATAAGTAAAAAGTGGATGCCAGAGCTTTGTTCTCATTAATACTTTGAATTACCATATATTATTAATAGTGATTGTCTTCGGAAAGTAAAATTACATGTTTTTCAAATGTTTGACATTTTAAGTAAACATGTATTACTTTTATAAATTGTAAAAATGTTTTGACTCTGCTTCAAAATTCACCTCAAAAATACCTAAAGGTATTCCTGATTAACAACCAGAGAAGTCTTATCTTATTTTGTACCTATCCTATGGTATTTATGGTGATTGCATATTCGGCATAACATTTTCTAGTAGCATTGATATAATTAAAATTACAAATTATCTCTTAAAAAGCCAAAGCAGCCAAGCAGAAATCACTAAATGAACTAACATACTTAAAACTTTTAGAATGATTTTGTAAATGTTTATTAGAAGTTGGATACAGTAAACTGTACTTATTAAAAGTAGGGAAAAGTTTCTTCTGCAATCTTATTTCAACAATACTATATTTGTAAAAGAATTCCTGAAGAGTTTGAAAGTAAAGCAGTACAATTTATCTATAATAGAAGTTTCACAGTATCTAATGAGATCTGGAATAATAAAACTTTACTACCCCAAAATATAAAATTTCCAATTCCTCTGGAATAGCTAGAAAGCTCCATCGTACAAATTTCATGTGCAGAATTAATATTCTTCAAGTACCATCAAGTCAAACATAAATCAAATTAAAAGTACATATGTATCTGGTGATGGCACATGGGTGATTTGCTGATGGGAAGCCCAAGGGATTGAAAATGAGATGGAAAAATGCACAAAATGATGTAAAAATAAACTATTATATATAATAATAATAATAAAGTATATATGTATCAACTAACTTCATCCAAAGGACTTAATCTTATGTACACTAATGTACACTCATCAAAAAAAAAAATCTAGGGCCTTAACCATCATATTGGAAAGGTGTTTTTTTTTTTAATATTTATTTATTTATGCATACAGAATTGTGGTACAAACCAGAGGCTCAGGGGCGGCGAGAGGTTTCACCAGAGACAGAGTGGGGAGCAGAACCGGCAGATCGCGGAAGTACACTGCTGAGGGGAGCAGCGGGCGGGCCAGGAGAGGTCTGCCATGCCATGTGGTCACCTCCGGGAATCGAACACATGCAGAAGTGGCTTAGCTTCTTAGTGCTGTGCTTTAACCCGCTGCGCCACCAGGGAGGGCCTTTTTTTTTTTTTAAGGTAATTTGATAATTATTATTAATTGTAGTAGTTTCTAAAGAGGTAAATAGGTCCACAAATTATTTTAGACTTCTCCCTTCAAGGAATGGAGGTTGGAGCCTCCCTGGTGTCACAAGGGGTTAGAGTGCAGCATTATGATGCTAGCTGGATCCACTGCAGCAGGAATTTGATTCCTGGACAGGGAGGTGACCCACATGGTGAGACAGACCTCCTGACTAGCCCCCTCATCAGTGTATTTCAGTCAATCTGCCTTTCTGCTCCCCACTCTGTCTCCAGTGAGTCCTCTCATCCCCAACACCTCTGGCCTGTACCCCTCCATTCTCGTATGCATAAATATCTTTTAAAAAAGAAAAAAAAAGTATGGAGCTTAATTCTCCTCGTTTTGAATACAGGCTACACTTAGCAACTGACTTGTAGCAAATAAAGGATGGCAGATCTAAAAATGAAGAAACAAGTCATGTAATGACCTTGTAGCTTCCATGTTGGTAACTCTCAGATTGCTTGCTCTGGAAGAAGACTGACACACATAAGGATCGGTCCAAGCAGCAAGGAACTAAGGATTCTAGTCAACAGCCATGTAAGAAGAGCAATCTTTGAAGAGGATCATCAAGTCATGGTTAAGCTTTCAAATGAAAATGTCCCAGTCAATACTTTAACATGAGAGACCCTATGCAAAAACCACCCAGTTAATCACTCCCAGATTCCTGACCTTCAGAAACTGTGATACAAAATGTATGTTGGTTTAAGCTACAAAGATTTGCACTAATTTGTTGACACACCAACAAATGTTAGCCCCTCAAGTCATTCAAGCATTTATTCATCTTTCAGCCTTCAAATATACATAATTTATCACTTAAGGCTTAAATACTGTCACACAAAGAAAACTTACAAAGATGAATTATATATTAAAGCAAAAACTCATGGTAGGCAGCAACTACCTTTAATAACAAAACAAAGTGGTAAATGAAGATTCAAGAGGTCATGCAGGACTCCTGTTTTTTATCACCAGCTCCACTATCTACAAGTTTTCTTCTCAGGTTCACTTAGATCTTTGAAATGAAAACAACAAAATGAATCCACTCACTTGCCACTGTTAGCCAGTTGCCTAAACTCCTTCACAGTCATGGCTTTTTTTTGGATGTTGTACTGAGTGTATAGTCCCGACTGCCCTGTAACCATCTGCTGAATTGGTGCTGGAATAAGCAAATTATCAATATCATCATAGCATTTTCTTGGCTTCCACTCCTTAGGAGGAATCACCTAAAATAAAATAACAAAATGTTATATTGAAAATATCCCAGGTTTTTAGTTTTTGCATTCCAAAAGAATACAAGACAAATTTCTCACATTACTATGACAAGGCATAAAATATTCATGAAGAGTCACAGTAAGATATTCACCTTACAGATGATTTTTTTCTTTTCTTTTTAAGATTTATTGATTGGGCCCTCCCTGGTGGCATAAGGGGTTAAAGCGCAGCACTGTGAAGTTATCTGAAGCTCTCCACAGCCACTGCAGCATGAGTTCAATCCCCGGCCAGGGAGGTGACCCACATGACACAGCAGACCTCTCCTGTCCCGCAAACTGTTCCCCTCAGCAGTGTACTTTGTCGATCTGCCTGCTCTGTTATTTATGCATACAGAGCTGGGGTTCAGGTCAGAGGCACAGGGACAGTGAAAGGACTCACCAGAGATATGAGTGGGGAGCAAAACAGGAAGATGAACAAAGTACACTCCTGGGGGAGCAGCAGGTAAACATGACAGGTCTGCTGCACCGTGTGGATCACCTGTGTGACGGGGATTGGACTCACACCCAAGCTGCAGCCAGCTTCATAGTGCTGCACTTTAACCTGCTGTGCCACCGCGAAGGGGGGGTTTAGGAGGAGGGGACCAACAGATGGTTTTCGACTGCAAAATTTATCACTTACTCACTAGACCAAATACTGTACTTGTACTAACTTACTTTTTTAGTTGATACTGTTACACTCTCAATTTTAAAGGTAAATTTGAGAAACACAGAAGTAAGTTGCTTAAGTTGCAGCTTTGTCAATTATTATAAAGTAAACATCAGAGTACCTGCTGCCCAGGTATGAGAAGCAGGATATTGTTGGCACCACAGAGGCCCTCTAAATACCCTTTCTGAAATACATTCCCCTCTTCCAAAAGGCCATACTATGGTTTTTATAATATTCATTTCCTTGATGAACTTCATAGTGTTGTGCCTGGGTATACAAATTTAAGTTTTGGAACTATACAGCAATGTGAACAATCACATATGCACATATTCTTTAAGGTTTATCTTTTATATTTCATTCAAGAATTTTATGAGATTCAAGTATAATGGAGTATATAGCTGAAGTTCATTAAAATTCACCCCTACTCAGTATTCCTGTGTAGTATTTATTCATAAATTGGTGACCATGGCAGTCACTTTATTTTTAATAAAGATTTATTTATTCATGCGTATAAGAACTGGTGTACAGGCCAGAGGTGTGGGGTGAGTGATAGGAGTCACCAGAGACACAGTGGGGAGCCAAACATGCAGATCTACTGAAACACACTGCTGAGGGGAGCAGCGGGCACATCAGGAGAGGTCTGCCACGCCATATGGATCACCCACCTGGCCAGGGATTGAAATAATGATGCAGTGGCTACAACAGTTTCATACTGCTGTGCTTTAACCCGCTGCACCACCACTCACTGTTTTTCTAATTACATACTATTACAAATGATATGCCATTAACATTGCTGTACACATCTGCTGCATATGTGCATATGATTTTCTAGAATACACACATATACAGACACCCCAAACCATGGAATTACTGGGACATAGGCTATATACGCATACATATACACACATACACATATATATAAATACAGAGAGAAATATACAGATATGTATCTATATATTTCTACATATATATCAAATATATATACATATATACATACACATATATGTATATATATAAATACAGAGAATGTATAGATATGTTATCTGTATATTTCTACATATATATCAAATATATATACATATATACATACACATATATGTATATATATAAATACAGAGAATGTATAGATATGTTATCTGTATATTTCTACATATATATATCAAATGTGTGTGTGTGTATATACACATACACACAAATCTCAAATTGGGTAAATGTTATCAATCTTATGCCGAAGTGGTTGTAACAATTCACACTTCCATCAGCAAAGGATGAGAGACCCCACTGCTGTTCAACATCTTCATCAATATCTTGTATTGACAACCATTGAAACTTAAGTTTTTTGTATGTGTATATATTTGTGTGAAATGTTTTCTCTTATACTCTAACTTTATAAAGGGTATCTTTTGAAAAAAATTAGTTCTTATTTTCCATGTAATCTAATATGCTGATTTTTACCCTTATGGCTACTATATTTATCTTCTGATTAAAAATGTTTATTTTAATGGGCCCTCCCTGGTGGCGCAATGGGTTAAGGCACAGCACTGCAAGCTAGCATCAGCCACTTCAGTTTGAGTTTGATCCCCGGCCAGAGAGGTGACCCACATGGCGCGGCAGACCTCTCCTGCCCCGCCTGCTGCTCCCCTCAGCAGTGTACTTTGCTGATCTGCCTGCTCTGCTCCCTACTCTGTCTCTGGTGAATCCTCTTGCTATCCCTACACCTCTGGCATGTACCTAGTTCTGTATGCATAAATAAATCTTAAAAAAAAATGTTTATTTTCCTACTACAGGACATGCAGACATAGTATTTTATAATGTTAAGTTTTAAAGTTTTATCTTTCATTTAGATTTACAATGTACTTGCAAGTGAAAAATTTGGATCAAGTCCCATCAGATAAGGATATCTGAGGTCAAGGGATGAGTGGGTTGGTCACTGTTAAACAATTGACAGATGAACTACATAAACTCAAAAAAAAAAAAAAGTTAAACTGACCTATAAAATCTAACATTAATTTTCATAGCAATTTGTGGATATGACTTGCTTTATTTCTTTAAAGGTATATTAATTCAAAATGGTAACATAGACAACCATATATACTTTATCTTTTATACTTTAAAAGTATAAAATGGGGCCCTCCCTGGTGGCGCAGCGGGTTAAAGCACAGCACTAAAAAGCTAAAGCCACTTTCGCATGAGTTCGATTCCTGCCTGCCCCGGAGGTGTCCACATGGCGTGGCAGACCTCTCCTGACCTGCCCGCTGCTCCCCTCAGCAGTGTACTTCGTCAGTCTGCCTGTTCTGCTCCCTACTCTGTCTCTAGTGAATCCTCTCACCATCCCTGCACCTCTGGCCAGTACCCCAGCTCGGTATGCATAAATAAATCTTTAAAAAAAAAAAAAAGTACAAAGTGGAGAATTATACCTAATGAACATGGATAAGCATACTATATTTTCTTGTTAATGTTCAAAGAAGAGGGGGTTGTCTTTATGAAAGTTGTAAATACTAACTTCTTTTTCATCTGAACTAAATCTGATTATTTAGACACACAAAACATGAATTAATACAGGCTACTGTTGCAATTTTAAAAAAGTATAATCAAAATAAATGAATTTACAAAAATCTAAATGTTATCTTTATAAGTATTTCATACAGGTTCATTTATTTCCCATTAAAACATTCAGATAGAACTTCAAAAATTTCTTAGTACATGGCTGTAACAAAAGTTTTAATTTTGAACTATAATTTTAGTTCTTTAGTTTTTCAACATAGGAAACAAGTTTTACATTTAAGGAGACTGTCACTATGTTCACTCTCCCAGCTTGACCACCATCTTTGTAGGCAGAAATTCAGGGTGTTAATCCTCTCACTTTGGAAATAAAATATGAGTCTAAAGTATGGAACTAAAAATGATGATAAAACGAAAACCAGAACAGGCCATAATTTGAGACCAGAGTCACTACTACTAGAACTGCTCAACCACTTCTTCAAAAAATAAGAACAATTCATTAAATGGTACGTTAACAAAGACTCTTCATAAACAGCTCTTTCCCCAGGACTAGTCCTCAAAGCAAACTAACAACATTAATGAAGTTTGGATTTGTATAATTTGATTTGATTTGGTTCGGTTTATGCATTTGCTATTGCTGCAACTTCCAGGGCAATAGGGAGAGCAGATGAAACTGAGGTTGATGTGACTTGATGTAAAAAATAGCAAAAATGACTAGAAACAGAGTTCATTGTATTCCTAGTATTAGTAATAGGAAAGAATTGTAAGATTGCATAAATACCTCCAACAATGTCAATGAGTCTCAGAAATATAAAAAGTCAGGACTCAGGTGTTCTTTATTCATCATTCAGAAAACTTACTGTAGTTCTCAATAACTTCATCTGTTATATAACACCAACAGCCACACAGGTGTACTCTTTGTGCCTGCAACTCCCTCTTGAGAAGTATTTGCTACTTCCACTTCTAATATTACTAAAGGTGCACTGGACATGACCAATCACAGTAAGATATATGTTTTCAAGAAACAAAAGGAGAAGAACAGGACAAAGGGCTGCATTCAGAGTCCAAAGAAGTTGAGACAGTCACCCCCCAACTCCCCTCCACCCAAATAAAGTCCACAAATTCTTGTTAACCTAAAGCAAGTCAAGAATCAAAATTATGTGTGTCAAATGATTATGAAAGCATTCTCTTCAACTAAAAAATGATTTTTTCCACCAAGATAATCTCAACATGTAGAGGTTCCAAAAACGGGATCTTTAAGGGTAGCTCATTTAAGCAGTTCATTATCAGACTTTACATTCTCTTTAACTTCCTTTTCTATCTCTCACCTACCTATAATAAAGTTTCACCCATCTTAATTTTAAATCTTTCTAGGAGAGATGTGAATCATTCATAACAAAACAGCAAGCCTCAAGGATATATCCCAGATGCAGTAACAGGCCTGAGAGCAGAAGGATTTAACACTGACCCTGAAGTTATGGAAGTTCTCTCCCTGACTATGACTGGAGAATGACAAGGAATAGGAAAAAAGAAAGAGAATGAAAAACAGAAGGAAAGAAAAGGAGGAGAGAGGAAGAGAAGGTAAGGAGAATGAATGGAAGGAAAGTAAGTCAAGCTTCAAAACAATTAATACTATCCTCCATGAGAATAGGATAAAAACAGTAGGAATACACTCCTACTCCTCTGAAGTCCATGTGAACTTCTTTGGCTTCTTGGTTAAAAAACAAGAAACAACAACCCAAAAATGCCCTAAACACAACCTAATATAAATAGCTGAAAGAGAATAAGAATTATTTTTGAAGAATAAAATGTTCCATATGGATTAACAAGCACAAAAATTTTATAATTATCTTACTTCAGAAGAAACAATTTCCCACATCATTAAGATGATTTCCCACATCACAGAAGGTAACTGAAAGGTCAAGTGACCATTTGGTTTAAAGCATCTGAAGATAATCACCTTTGCAAGACCAGCTCGATGGGCTCCTTTAGATTCCATATATGCAAGGTATTTGTTGAACTCCCGGAACTCCTCCATTGAGGGTCTGAAGGTCATGATCTTGCAACTGGGGTTCAGAGGACTCTCCGCCTCGACCACCTCCATGATGGCTGCCACAGTCTCTGCAGAGAAGATGACGTAGTCATCAGCACTGAATTACTGCATGGGGAAGTTAAAAGTCATTTCTCCCAAATATCATGTAAATTCCTCCTGCTGGAATTCTTCTCTTTTAGTTACTTACCCTTCCTTCCTTCTACTCTAACAGGGAGACGCTTTTCCTGGACTCCAAGGGAAAAGAAAAATAAAACTATTTTTAATAACTCCTGCCAAACTCCTGTTCCTAACATTGAATCACTAATCTAATTATATTGCTCACCCCTCAAAATCTTTCCTGGCAAAAATGTATTTTAGAATTTTAAGTTTACAAAAGGTCTTGTTCCCATGTACTAGTTCTAAAGAATCTCATGTATAAAGCCCTAGTCCAGGATGAGCAGAGGAGGACAATGATCAACATCTCCAGTACAGAGTTTACTCAGGTGTGCCTGCTCCTGTCATAACATGCTTCCCTATAATAATTTACAACCCATCCTTTCAGCAAAACCACCAGGCACATTAAAGTAGAGGAGACAAAGAAGTAGTAACATTTATCTTCACCTTCCAACTCACTATCTAGAGGCCAAATAAGCTATAACACACAAAGCTGTACAGAGGAAGGAGTAACCAGGTCCACCTAAGTTAAAAAGAAATGACTTCTCCAGAAAGGGGCAGTTAAAACGTATGAGAAAGGATAGGAGTATTCCAGATGAGTGAATATCGTAGACAGTGGAAATATTTAGAACCACTTCAAGATGGAGAGGGAATTTAATTCATCTGGATCTTAGAAAGAAAAGATTACAGGAGATCAAAAATAGACAATAAGATCTGGTATGCAAACACAAACTTAAAACTGCTATCAAAGAACAGGATGATCCTTTAACAAACATTAATCTAATATGTATTATGTGTCAGGCACAGAGAATGCAAAAAGAATACCTGTACCAGAAAAGAATCCCACACACAAGCCACTTCTTGACACATAGGGGCCCTCCCTGGTGGCACAGCAGGTTAAAGCACAGCACTAAGAAGCTAAAACCAATGCAGCCTGAGTTCAAACCCCACCCCTGGAGGTGATACACACAGGGTGGCAGACCTCTCCTGACCCGCGAGCTGCTCCCCTCAGCAGTGTACTTCATCGATCTGCCTGTTCTGCTCCCTATTCTGTCTCTGGTGAAGCTTCTCACCAGCCCTGCACCTCTGTCCTGTACCCCAGTTCTGTATGCATAAATAAATAAATCTTTAAAAAAAAAATACACACAATCCGTTACAAGCATCTATACTGAACCTTATCTACCACTACAACCTGCATTATACAATATGTTCCAACAATGCTCACGGTGCTTTTCTAAAGTAGAACAGTAATTATGAGAGCTCAGGTCTCCTTGGTAGCATGGATTAAAGTCTCAGTCCTATCAAGCTATCACCAGCCAGTATGGCCTGAGCTCAATCCTTGGCCAGGAAGCTAACACACATGGTGCAGCAGACCTCTCCTATCTTGTCCTCACCCGGCAAAGTCCTGTCCACTGTCAAGATGCCCATTCTTTGGAGCAGGCATGGACAAAACACCCTGTTTATTTCCACCTCTTTCTCCCTCCAACCCCCAATTCTTTTTTTTTTTTAATTTATTTATGTATACAAGAGCTAGCATGCAGGCCAGATGTGGGGGGAGAATGAGAGGATTCACCAGAGAAGAGTGGGACACAGAGTGGGGGCGGATCTACTGAAATACACTTGCTGAGGAGAGCAGTGGGCGAGACAGGAGAAGTCTGTGCTGCGCCATGTGGTCACCTACATGGCCAGGGATCAAACTCACGCTGCAGTGACTGCTTGTAGCTTCATAGTGCTGAAACTTCACTCCTTGTGCCACCAGGGAGGCCCCTCTTTCTGAATTTTTACAAGTTAGATGTCTCTATTAGGTTAGCACTTCTACCCACACACTGAGCTCAAAGTTCTTCATGGGAAAGACAGCTCTCCATTTTCTTAAGTGCTGGCATCCAACCTGGGATCCAGACTGGCTTGTAATAATTACTCCAATATCTATTTACTAAACTGAATGAAGGAAAATATGCTGAAATGCTAAAATATTTATATAAAATGATATCTGATGCAGCAAAAAGGAAAGAATTGGTCCCAAAACAGAAAGATTATTTATAAAACACACTCACTTACCTGACTGGGAAAGAATATTAGGGAAAAAACTAAGCAATAAGAAAGGGGAAGTCCCCAGATAACCTTTAGTACATGGAATGCAACCTTATTTTTCCCCTGACCAGAGAACAAGGGAGGCCTGATTATTTCAATAGGCAAAGCAAGAAGCCACTAAAGAGAGAAATGGAAATCCTGCCATTCCACAAACAGCTACTGAATGCCTAGCTGCTGCTGGAAGCACATTCATGAAGTAATGAAAACAAGTCCTAACACTTGTGGGTGAAACAGATAAGTAATAAGTGCTCTGAGGGTAAGGGGTTAGAGTGCAATGAAGAGGGGTAACTATTTTATAAGGGGTAGGAAAAGGAAGACAAGTTAGGCCTGAAGGAGGGAATAACTCAAGCAGATATCCAAAAGAAAAGCACTTTACAAGAAGTAAAACAAGGAGACTATTGGGTTCTTCAAGAAACAGCAAGGAATGGGTGTGGAAAGTAGAAATAAAAGAACTTTAGAACTTCCCGGTAAGATGGGAAGTAAACTTGGGTTTTTTCCTTCTTGTATATCCTCCTTTTGGTACTCTAATAGATGTTTTCATTCAAAGAGATGACACTGTTGGAGCCTCACTGGTGGACTAGGGGTTGAGTCTCAAAACAATCAACACTAAAGTCAGAGCTAGATTCCAGCCAGGGAGCTGACCCACAGGGCACAGAAGACCTCTCCTATCTCATCTACTGCTCCCCTCAATAGTGTGTTTCAGTAGATCTGCCTGTTCTGCTCCCCACTCTGTCTCTGGTGAATCCTCTCACCCCGCACCTCTGGCCTATACCCCAGTTCTTCTATGCATAAAGAAACATCTTTAAAATAAATAAATAAATAAACCACAAAGAGATGACACTGTTTTCTAAGGCAACTTCTGGAGGAATTCAAGAAGAGAACTGAAATGGCTGTTGTGACAAAGATGCAGGCACAAAGACAATGTACACCAATCCAGACAAAATAGAATTGTGACTCTGACCAGTAATAGGCAATGAGAAGGGCTAGAGTGCATATATATTCCACACATAACTTCCTAGTGAAAATGAGAGGTACAGAGGAGCACAGTTTTTGGTCTCAGTACCAGAACAAAGGCTCTGGCAAGGAAATAAAGCAAGGAGACTTAAAATATGCAACGCAAGTATCACCAATCAGAATTATACTTCAATTCTCTCCATAATTGACCAGTGGTCGGTGACAGACTTTGCCTCTTCCTAGGATCACCATTATGCTAAAGTAGTTTCACCTATAAACAGATACCCGTTCTAGACCTTTTTCAAATCTATGAAGTTAACATATGTTCAGCATAAAATTTTAAATATGTTAAAAAACATTCTGCCACCCAAATCTCTTCTACTATGGCAGGCAAAAAAAAGCTGGTAAGAAGTTTCATTTCTTTGATTATATTTAGGTTGACCATTATAATATTTATTGCCCTTTTCATTTCATTTTGGATTGCCTATTTGTGTTCTTTACCTTTAAAAGGTAGTTTATAAATTTTCTGCTACTGGAGTACTTTCCAATCCATATTTATCATTATCAAACTTAATGAAGTTACTAGAATCAAATTCCTTCCCAGTTACTTCACTTATGGTTTACCTTTATTTTTCTGAGCAAAGCAGAAAAGTAGGTTTAAAGTGCTCTTGCAATGTGTCCTAGTCAGAGGAAGACTGTTATATTTTGCAAGAAACAACTCTGTGATTTGCAGCTAAAGGTGATGCAATAATCCCTTTTTAATACTATACCTCTTTAGAGACTCAGTCCCCAAAGTGAGTGACAAGAATATCTGTAATGATAACTTTTTTATTCTGCTTCTACAGAGTTCATCTGCAATATTTCAATATTTTTGAGACTCCCTATACCAAATAACCATATTAATAGTAAGTACCCTTAGAATTTTTCTTCTAACTAAGCTAACGATCAGTTTCATTAAGTGAAGAAAAGTCTAATACTAATTCATACTTATTTTCCCAAGCTTGTTTTCTGAAAAATTTTACTTTATTATAAAGGAAAAATGTGTAATCTCCTTATTCTAATATTATATCTTAAAAGATAATAAAAAAGAAACTGAATGGAAAAGAAACTGAGCTGATGCTTTCCTGCTATGTAAATCAAAATCTTTATTATTACTTTCCTCAAGGCATGTGTATTTCTGACTTTGTGTTCTCTTATTTAAACAACTTCTGTGTGAAGAGTCAAAAATGGGGGTTCTCGGACCCTCCCTGGTGGCGCAGCGGGTTAAAGCACTGCACTGAGAAGCTAAAGCCACTTCCACATGAGTTCGATTCCCACCTGCCCCGGAGGTGACCACATGGCGTGGCAGACCTCTCCTGACCCGCCCGCTGCTCCCCTCAGCAGTGTACTTCGTTGATCTGCCTGTTCTGCTCCCCACTCTGTCTCTGGTGAAGCCTCTCACTGCCCCTGAGCCTCTGGCCTATACCCCAGTTCTGTATGTACAAATAAATAAATCTTTAAAAAAAAAAAAAATGGGGGTTCTCATCATGCGTTAGTTGCTTAGACAACACTTGCCACAGAACTGATACATACTGATAACTGCTTCTGAAGAGAACCCTCGAGGGTCTACTGTAAAGAGTACTGTAATAAGTAGCTCCCTGGGAGAAAAGGACTCATCAGTACACAGATAATGCATCAGGCTAGAAAAGAAAGGAAGCAAAGCACAACCACCAGCTGTGCTAGTGTTAGAAGAAAACCTATAGTCAGCCTCCAAGGTAATTCCGATGAGAACTCACCCAAATCCTGAAAACCATCCTTTCCAGGCCTCCCCCTCACTCCTCCTCCCTATGATGAAATTTTAAAAAGAAACTCAGCAACCAAAACCTGGACA